TAAAAAGGTGGCCCTGCTGTGATTTTCAACCCATGCTAGCTTCGCTAAGTGCGTCTTGTTATAACAATTTCCAGTATCATTTTCAAATGTCAGCGTTCCATCATTTATATCTTCTGCTTTTCGATATTTCTAAATGACTCTGAGGTGTAATTTGTGAAATGAAATCTTGTACTTTTCGTTTTAGAACGATATTTGGGTTGAAACGCGCCTATGTGGACTTTTTTGGGTGTACCTAACGTGCTGCGATGGTATTGTTTACGACATTACAGATTGGGCAACCTGTGAGGTAAGCTCCCAGTTACTTTACACTTTCGAAGAAATAATCTTTGCTCCAGTGCGGTGGTGATTTATCAATACATCAATGTTGGTGATGGTTTAGGTGAATTACTTGAAGCACGTTCGACCGAATTCTCACACTGTGCAGTATCGTCTTGTGTCGCCTGTCCGATCAACTACCGACGTACCATCTCACAAGCATCACAATGAAAAATTGAGGGACCTAGCCGATGTTCCGGAAGAATTGCGCTTCGACTGGGGTAAGGTTGATGTGTTGGTAATTGTTCTAACGACGTTGAATAGTCAGACATAGTCCGTAACTTTGGTTGTGCTCCTTCAAAGGCAAAATAAACGACACGTGATTCCATGAATTGTGAAAGTGGAGGGGTCAATTGGTGTCTGCCAATAAATAAAAAACTAGCATGATCAAAAATCTGAGATGCAGCGCCCTTTTCTTCCCCGTTGATTTCAAATTTGGACGACTCGAACCTGCTGCTGGAGCTTCGGTGGCCGTTGCTGCCAACAGCTTGTCTTTTGTAATCATACTATATAGGTCACTCAAATGCCCCCCCCCCCCCCCCCTACAATAACGTGTACTAGTTGTGCATGGAGCAGCTATAAATCCGCGAAATCGGGAGCTGAAAGTAGTAAGATTTTGAAGGGAGTTAGCCTGATATGTGAAGCACTCCTGAGATAATATCAGCAAAAAATCCAAGTTACTAGTCCGCGCTGTCCCCTGGACACTTTTCTGCGCTTTATAATTTTGTTGATAGGAAGCTTTCTGCTGCGAAAGCGCCACATATGGTCTAATTTAATCCGCTCAACTACCCATCTTTTCTTCCATAAACATAAAGTTAATCGCGATTATCAATTTTGTCTTCAAGGAAGCTCGCGCTCAAGAGGGTCAATACATTTGTTTAACACATTCACGCCGATGGTCGCCCATATGGGTTGCCAGCAACATGTGCTTTCTGGAACGATGGACATCCTCATGTAGTGCTACCAACTTAAATCGCTTGCTAAGCGCTAGGAAGTGTATCAGAAATAATGGCCCAACCTCGCAAAATCGAATGTGAATGCTTTTAACTGCCTTCTCCCCTGCGTGGCAATTGCCACCATCAAATTCAAATGTTTGCATTGCCGCTGAAACAGCATGCTTTTTCTAATCCTGCTAGAGTTTGCTTTAGTCAACCTTCCCCTTCCTAATTATGAGCTAAACCTGCCATTTCATTGTGTGTTGCTGTTAGTATTACAAGTATTTGTGTACAAGTGCAACAATGAATCGGCGCTGACCCCCGCAACCAGCCAAGTAAGTGTGACTTTTTCTTAAAATACTTGAAGTAGATCCATTCTTCAATCAAAATTATGGGTTATAATGTTGTCCAAGATTATAAACTTCTTCGGCATAACTATGAAATTTCGAATTGTTTCGACATAAGCTTAAAAACTAAGAAGGTGGGCCAATTTTCAAAGCTTCTTAGTTTCTTTGTTTGTGATCGAATAGCTTCCAAATTTCGCCATAATGATACCTATATGCTCACAAGTAATAAACAATAGCTAGAAGAAAAATTTCTCCACGGGGAAAAATTCAGGTCCGAAAGGGTTAAATTCCTTCACGGGGAAAGTGAATAAATGCTCTCTTTTCGTAACCACTATTTGTCGTTCTGATCGAAATCCTACTGTTATATGTTTAGATAATCTTTACGCATTGGACATTGCAGAAATTATTTTGTGACATTCATGTTTTGTTCATTTACAAAACAAAATCTGCGGTTATGTGGTGAGGCGGCGGCGCCCACAAAATCGCGTCCGTCCCACGCGACCGAAAAGTGGAAAAGGGGCGTCGTCGTGAATGTGTTAAAGATGATTAGAAGCATCGACCAGAACGCTGTTCTTGATTGTTGTCGATCATTCTTTGCAATGTGCTTGTCTTGTATTCTGAATCTGTTCCTCAGCTCTCTTTATTTGAACCTCGTAGAAACAAGTGCCAACTATGCTAACGCTATTGTTGTAAAATCATACTTCACTAAAGCGGCGAGGTTGGAATATGAATTGATTAAGCTGTGCGTGGGGCGACACTCAGATATACTATTAAAATTTAAATAGGAAACCAAATTGAGTATAGTCGAGTTGAAGAATCCACTAGATAATCTGATCGCTTTCTTTTTATACAGTCAGGTTTCCTAACACAATAATTTAGGTCGTTCCGGACATGCTCAGATTTCGTATTTGCCGTTAGAGCCGAGAGACGAGGATCGTTCCCGACGTGCGGCAAATCGTCGCCAGAAGAAATGGCGTTAAGTATGCTTGAGTAGTCAACTTTTGGTGGGACTCTTGTTTCCATCATTTTTTTTCAATACTGTAATTTCTTGAAGGAGCAGCATGGCTATTTTAATGCTTATCATTTCTTTTTATAGAAGACTGCGTTTTGCTTTGTTTTAGTTTAGTGTTAAAAGGTGGTCTTGTGAGAAACAATCGCGAATTGTTTCAGTTCAATGAGCCACTTGTTGTTAAAATAGCTTTATTGGTTGTGGGTTCTCCACTACAATATGACTCTTTTCATTTTCTCGTTAATGCTTTACATGCTTATCCTGTTTCATGTTTTCATTTCTTCGCAGCTTGGGCCTTTTCCTTTTATAGGAATCCCGTCATGTGCTTTTTTTCTGGTCGTATTTTCAACTAGAAATGCGATCGGCTCAATTAATATCACTTTTTATTGATTTTTAGTAACTGCCGTAGGTTCCTACTAATCCTACAATTATTGTATTTCTTAATGCTCTTCTATCTCTATAATGTAGCAGTTGAATGCGAATTTCTTTAATGCACTGTTGTGTGGTACCTAATGAGTTTCTGAATCTTTTCGCGTCCGGTTTCTTGTTCGCATAATAATCCAGCATTTTGCTAGTTACTTGAAGTCTGAAAACCTGCATTTCTAAGGACACTCATCTGTATGGACTTTTTTCTCTGATAAAGTAATCTTGTACTTTGTGCTGAACATTTATCAATATCAGTGAGTTATTACAACAGAAATGTACTCGTACTCGGATCAAAACAATGTTTCCTATCATCACGTTCTAGTTTCAACTGATAGGATTAGAAGGGTTTCAATTGAGAGGTGATGGTGAGCTGGCCACTTCAAATGAACTGGGATAAGGTTAAACATTACGCGGTAGGTTAGGCACGTGCCAGACTGTGACCAATCCCTAGCAACAAATTGAACGATGCGCCAACGGTCAGTCGCTGGCGCGCTGTGGAATCACTGGCGCATCGCTTGTATCCGTCGTTTCGCTGGTGTAGGTCGCAAAGTCTGACACCTGATTTTCCCCAGCGCCAGTATGCATGTGTAATCGTACGAATATTCGGTTTCGGGCAGCAGGGTCGCGTGGCGTCATGCCATCAGCGAACCTATTGCTCGAAAGAATTGTCGTACCAGCTCACTTGTAGCAGCTCTAGCTCATTACTGTGAGATTCGTCAAAGGACAAGATAATAAAAAAAAGATTCGTTGATGGAGAACTGAGGAGACTAAGGAACAACGACAAATGCGATGAATCTGAAGAGATTCTGACAACGTCCCACATTTTGACCCTTTGGTAGATGACTAAGCCTTTGCTGAGGGTAAGCGATAGGGTTATTTCTGGGATTTCAGCAGTTACATATTACCCCCCCCCCCTTCTGGTCATCCGATTCACATTTAAAGTTATGGGGTCGAAGTTGAATTTGGTCGGATAGCGCTAGGCTTCACGACAATACCTACTTTGTTCGAAGCTGGAGGAAGGATTGAGGAGGGCAGTTTAATTAGCCAAAATTTTCGACACGTAAATCTCTCTGTGTGTTCCTTTATGCATTAAAAGAGGTAGAGATGAGGGATTTTTTGGGGTTCTCCCTCCCAAATCCTTTCTCGACCGGACACATTAAGTCCGCCCCACACGGACCCGCCCACTGGCCATTAGGGTGAGAAATGACGGGGCATGTTGGGTGAGGATTGTTCTTATGCAACATAAGAGAGATAATTGTTCCCCCATGAGTCAGCTAATTTCATTGTCAGAGCAAAAGAAGCGGAGTGCAATCGTATGGTCATACCATTCTTAGTACATAATTGTACGAGCTAGACACCCGATTTTCAACCACTATTACGGAAAACAAGTGTGGTCCCTATGTCAAAGTGAAGTGAGGTCATAAGTCAGATATCTACACCTAAAAATGGCTAGCCTCATTGAGACCAGCTGAATATCCTCTGAATGGCCATGATGACCCATCAAGTAGTACGGAACCCGGTTTAGAAAAGTCGTCGTCGTATCCTCTGAGGGCAATTGCTTGGCCATTCGAGTCGATTATGGAATGCATGAGGAGGAGGAGCATCTTTTTCGAAGTATGGCACCACTCTGGCCCACCAGGACCTGCAGAAGGAAATATTTAGGTACTGGTGGAAGACACTTAGCTGGCAACAAGTCGCAACTCACCATGAGAGAATGTTCTTTTCCAGGCTGTTTTCATGATATGACACCATAAGCGCATGATACTCCATGAAAACCCGTGTGGATACCGTGTACCTGAAGATATTCATTCATTGAATGATTCCTCTAATTGATTTTGTAGTACTTTCCCCACAAACTAGCAGTACCCGTGATCTCAGACATTCCAACTTTTT